ATGAGCACCTGGGACCTGCCAACAGCCTCATAGGTGAGAGTAGGAGTGGATCCTTCCACCAGTGAGGCTTTGATATGATGACAGCCTCCGATGACACTGACTGGAAACTTGTGAGACACGCTGAGCCCGAGGCAGTCAAGCCAGTCACCTCCCAGCCCCTCAGACTCTGAGATAACAAGTGCTTGTTCTTTTAAGCAGTAAGTTTTGGGGTCATTTGCAACACAATAATTAGCACAATAGATAATTAGCACAGCCTTTAAAGCCCCTTCTAATCCTAATACTACATTAGTTTGAGAATTTATTTTATCAGAGGGACTATTAACATGTGAATATGGAACTTGCCTATGTGTGTGTAAAAGAGTGCCTGTTTGCATGTGCCTGCATGTGTGTTTTTTGCAGGTGAGGCCGGGAAGGTGATGTGTTGATAACAAAAAACACTAATTGCAGAGACTCCAGACCGTTGATGTTGGTGTGCCCTGCTCTCCCTAGCCGCACATGGTTCCCGCAAACGGGACTTGGCTCACTTTTCAGGAAGAAGAGAAGTGCTGCTGTGACAATGGCCACATAAGGACTACAGCTGTCCCTCTTAACCAGGTTTCATGACCTCTGAGAGACGGCAGCCAGCCCCTGGGTTTAGACAGGCTAAATTACACCCTAAAGAAATTATTTAAAGTATAATCAGCATCATTTAGACATTTTTCCTGATAACTATGGGAATGGTCAGGGGCTTCTTAAGTATTACAGAGATGGGCAAATGTAGGTTTACAGTCATAAGTACATGAAACATAGTTTATTCTTCTATTATTATTTATTATTATATTAGTTACCAAATGAACATCCGTAAACCTACTTTTGCCCATCCCTGCTATCCTACTAATTCTATCTTTGCTTCACAAGGACATGTTAGGTTCCTCTTCTACCCAGAAATCTACTACTGCCCATTCTAAAACCATAAATTATGCAGGAAGTTCTGTGCAGAGATCAACCTGGATCACTACATGGCTTTTATCCATGCCAAAGCATGCAGGGTGTCTTGTCCTGAAGAGAGGGGGCCTCCAACAGCAGAAGCTACAGAAACACCGGTGACTTGAATGGAATCCCAGTTTTACCCACTTTTCCCTCCTGCCTTCAACAAATAGCCTCCTTCAGGACATCAGCTCACCCTTACCTAATGGCAAACAATCACAAAACAAAAACGGCTGGCATCTTAGAGTCAGAAGTAAGGGTTTGTCTGAGGTTCTTTTCCTCCAGTGATCTTCAAGTGACCCTTCTGAAGGGGCAGAGGCATTATCCTCATCACCTGAGGTCTCTCAGGAAGGGACCGGCAGAAACCAACCCTGAGGTGCTTAGAGGTCATGCAGGAATCAGGAATGCGAGGATCCAGAGATCTTTCAGACATGCCATTCATATAGGCATGTGGAGGAAGACACATGACCGATTTCTGTTCTAGGCTAAGCAAGGATTAGCATCAATAGATTACCCAGTTGGGGCAAAGGGCTGGAGGGTTGGACCATTCAGGGAATAACTTCTGACCTGTGCTCCTCTGGCCCCACCAGAACACAGCAGAGCTGCCTCAGGAGAGAGATTCTTACCCTGAGCCTGGGTTCAAGCTAAGAGGTAGAAGGGCTGGTAATATGGACAAAACATTGACTTGGGGACAGGAGGCTTGGATTCCAGGCCTGAAGCTTTCTTTGATCAGTTTGTCTTGGTCAAGGTTTTTTTAAAATTATAATTAAGCAAAACCTACTTTAATTAACTTAGACCAAAAAGGGTCTCTTGTGTAGGTCTTGGGTAGAACTCAAGGGAAACAAGCAGAGTTGAACCACCCCCCCAAACAAAAATGGAACTAAAAACTGGAAAGCCACTAACAATCAGGACAGATTCTCATTTATTCTCTCTCTCTCTCTCTCTCTCTCACTCTCCCCCCTCATGTTTTCTTATCTAGTTCTGTTGTGTGTGGTTGTATCATTTCTGCTTCAGCTTTTGCATGCCCACAGAAATAGGCCCTCCAAGTGTAAATGTCCTCAGTTCAAAAAACCGTCTAAACTGACAAATATTGATGAATTCAATTTCCAAATTCCCAAGTGTGAGACTATGACCGGTCAGCAGCCTGATGCTACTCCAGTCAGTTGTGGCCTCAAAAGGGGGTTGGAGTGGGAGTCGGGACACTGTACAAAGAGAGTTTTCAGCAGCAATCTTTGAGAACTGGAGAAGGAAGGAGGAAGGGGAGAGTGGCCTCGAGAGGCTCTGAGACTAGGCACACAATCAAAAATGCATCTCCTCTACTATAGAGCCTGCCTGAAGTTCAATTATTTGAGTAGCTTAAACTTCCAGTTCCTAAAGCCCTCTCTGAATCTTGAATTCTGTTCAATAAATCCTTGCATTGGGAAGACATATCCTAACTCGTCCCTCTGGAAGAGCAAATAGACCCTGCACCAACACAGTCAACCCTTTGGTCACAAAGGAGATGTGGAATCATAGGACAAGTCTGAAAAAACAGAAAACAGATCATGTTAACCATTGTCTTATCCACTGTGCCCTCCTCTCCCCAGCGTCTAAGCAAGGAATAGCTGGAGTCTCAGGGAGATGCTTCCCCTGTCAAGGCCCTGAGGGGACCATTGACAGCATTATCACTGCACTAAGTGGATCGGAAGTTCCAAATGTCTTACTAAGCCTACTGGATCCCCAAAGGCCTAGAAAGAGTCAGTGTGCTGCCCTAAGTACCCAGCTTGCTACTCTCCTAGAGAGCAAATGGAGCACTGGGGAGAAGGAGGCCCCCCATGCGGCTGGAAGAGGTCTCTTCCAAGGTTGTCCACATAGGCAGCGAAGACACGTCTCTAGTTTGTATGGAGACAGGTGCCCTACATGACATAAACAGGCCCTTTTAGGGATTTCTTACTCCGGTACATTCATGTTGTTCTCCTTCCCATTTTAGCCCATAAATCATCTCTTTTTCACTCTCCTATCTTCCTGTAATGGTTGAGAAATTATATGACTCAAAGACACCATCCTTGGTCCGGGTTTCCTCCAGTGTCAGTCACTTTTGAATCAAGTACATTTAGCTGCCTTCCTGCTATTTTTCTAAATTACTGTCTTCAGCAAATGCTTGAATAAAATAGTCTTTTTATTATTCTGATGGAATTCAGCAAACAGAGTCTATGGGACTTTTGTTTTCATGAAGTACTCTGTTGCCAGGATACCCAGGGTGAAGATGTCAAAAGAAGACACATTGAAAGGACAAGCTATAGTGAATATCCCAGAATCAGCCCCTTGCATACTAATCATTCTGATTTACCCTATGCTGTTTCTGTTTGCTATAGGAAAGGTATTAGAGTCCAGAGTTTCCAAATAATAAACTCTCCTGAGAACAGAAAATATATCTTATTAAGGAGGGCAATGCATACTTAACTCCCTTCTTTTTTTTCTTTTTTCCTTTCTTTTAAAATGTGGTACTAAGATCATTAGAGTCAAATTCTGGTATTCCATTAATGCAAGTAAGGAGATGAAAGAGAAATAGATTTCTACACTGACTTCAGGAAGGATTTAAAATACAGTAAAAAGGAAAAGAAAAGGATGAGGGCAATTAAAGCTACTCCTAACAACAGAAGAAAGGCCCCCATGGTCCCCTAATTATTTTAAAAAACATATATTAAGAATTTTGTTAGCAAGCATTTATTAAGCACCTTCTCGGGTCATAGTATGATGCTAAAATCTTAGACTTAAATTAGATGCCATTTAATGAAATAGATATAAAGTCCCACATCCAAAGAAATAGAGAAAACACAAGGCAATTGAGGCTGTTTTGGCAGTAGCTCTCAAGGTCACAGCAGGCAACAGATTTATTACAAGCAAGTAGTATGATGTGTTTATAGGGCAGGAAAGGACAGTTTAATGTTGGACTGCCACAGTAGTATTATCAAGACCACATGAATATATTGTCCTATTAGAATGTGGGCTAGCCACACTAGATGACACCTAGAGTATTATGTTCATGCAGACACAGTATTTCAAGAAAAATGTTAGCTAACTATAGACGTTCCAGATGAGATCAACAAGCTTGGTGGAGATGGGGAAGAGGGCTGAACACAGAAAATGTTCTAGAAGCGACTCTATCAGAATAACTACTGAAGAAACTGAGGCTGTTTAAGCCAAAAGAAGTTTACAATGTTGGTAAAAATGCTATTGAAATTTTAGGAAACATTAAAATCATAAATATATCCATCTTGACCTAAAATTATCTGAGCTCCAAATTAGCACTGTTGTCTCATTATTTAACAGAGTAGAAACTTGAATGTTATATTTTTCCAAAGAAAATTAGTTGGCAGTCACCCCATCAGCAATGCACTGCTAAGTCATAGCGCAGGCCTGAGGTCTGAGGGCTCCTTGCCCTCAAGCGCGGCATCCTGATCAGAGGGGAAGGCCTGAACTTGGTTCTGAGGAAAGCTTCTCTTTTGGCCAGATGTCGTTTGTTTGTTTGTTTGTTTATTTTTATTCACCAGAGAAGGAAAAAGACAATTCAGAGGACTATTCTCAGTGGGGAGGTTTCTCTCTGCCAATGACAAGTTATGAGAGAGCATCAAAAAGATGGGGGCTGTCATTTTGGACCTGAACTTCCACCTCAGGAAGACACAAAGCAACCACAGATCCTGAACCCCCAAGTATGGAAATCCATCCCAAGATCTATGCCCAATTTTTACAATGCTCATTCAAAGACACTGACAAAATACAAAAATCGTTCTATTTAAAACAAAAACATTTTTCCACAATTTGTGCCAAAATGCTCTGTAAGCACTCAAAGTGTGCCCACCTGAGACTAAGCTGTTTCTAAAGGAAGAAATCCCTGCCCTTCCTACCTTCTTGCTGCCAGCCTGGCTTTAAAGGTAATTTGAGTACAATAATGATTGAGAAAAGGGACCAAGACTCCCAGAAAAACATTGGACCATGAGAAACCACAAAAGTTCTTTTTTTTTAAAAAAAAAAAAAAAAGATTTTAGGCAGTGAGTGCTGGGGCTCCTCAGGTTTCGATATGCCACCCAAGGACGACAAGAAGAAGAAAGATGCAGGAGAGTCGGCCAAGAAAGACAAAGTCCCAGTGAACAAATCTGGGGGCAAGGCCAAAAAGAAGAAATGGTCCAATGGCAAAGTTCGGGACAAGCTCAATAACCTAGTCTTGTTTGACAAAGCAACATATGATAAACTCTGTAAGGAAGTTCCCAACTACAAGCTCATAACCCCAGCTGTTGTCTCTGAGCGACTGAAGATCCGTGGTTCCTTGGCCAGGGCAGCCCTTCAGGAGCTCCTTAGTAAAGGACTTACTAAACTAGTTTCAAAGCACAGAGCTCAAGTAATTTACACCAGAAACACCAAAGGTGGGGATGCCCCAGCTGTTGAAGATGCATGAATAACAGGTCTCACCAGCTGTACATTTTGAGAAATAAAACTTTATTAAATCAGTAAAAAAAAAAAAAAGAAAAAGATTTTATTTATTTTTAGAGAGGGGAAGAGAGGGAGACAGAGAGGGAGAGAAACATCAATGTGTAGTTGCATTTTGTGCCCTCCACTGCTGGGGACCTGGCCTGCAACCCAGGCATGTACCCTAGATTGGGAATTGAACCAGTGACCCTTTGATTCACAGGCTGGCACTCAATCCACTGAGCCACACCATCCAGGGCCCACAAAAGTTCTAAGAGAGTCAACCTGTGCCATCACTATTGAGTATAGGAAAAACCAGAATTTTTATATTGAAACTTCAGATTAACCTGCATCCTGGCTTGACCAGAATATGTTACAGAGCAATGTAAGGATTAATTGTAGTGATTATTAGAGCCTATTACATATCATTAAAATGCTTATGAAAAGAAATAACATTAAATTACTTGTGAACTTATAGAAAATTTTAAAATAGCATCTTGGCTTTTGAATATGCATAAAGAACTTTAAAAGTCCTGTACCTGTAACCCTGATTCCTCTTCCTTAATTTTCATACTAAACAAATACAGTTGACTGTTGAACAACACATGTTTGAACTACATGGGACCACTCAGATGCAGGTTCTCTTCAATAAATACAATCAACCATTTGATTTTGCCAGTTTCGTATTGGCAGATTCAACAACCAAGGAACAAAAACAGTGTTTTCCCATCCACAGGTTCCCAGCCATAAACTGGCAATACTGCTTTTGATCCAGATCCGAGGTTGGTTGAAACAGTAGACGCGAATCAACTACCTGCAGAGTCAAAAGTTACACATGGATTTTCAACTACATGGGGTTCAAAGCCCTGAAACCCCACATTGTCCAAAGGTCAACTGTAATCCCAAATGCAGACAAAGATTTATACAGAAAGACTGGTATTTCATAAATTTGATACAAATGAAATCTAACATTTAGATTAATAATTAGGTAAGTTTTGGAAAGTTCATCCAATGGAACTTGAACATGGTAAAATAGTAACATAAAGTGAGGGGGGAAGGGAATGCAAAATTATAAAAATATGATCAAATAAAACAAGCCAAAATAGTGATTGTATTTGAATGGTAGCAACATGGATAATATTTCCCCTAATAAATATACACTACATTGATGATGAGGACTACTAAGTAAAAACATATTAAAGGCTTTAACTTCTCATGTAATTATCTTAATTCCAGGTGAAGTAGTAAATGGGTCATGGATAGAATAAAAAAGAGGATCTGGTTGTTTCTGGACCTTTTCATCTTGCAGATACATGACACCTGTCACTTTATTGCAATGCATGTTTAACCAGCTGAACCCAATTGCCTGAGAATGGTTGTATCTGGATTCATTTTTCTCTTGGTCCTGCCAGCATGGCAATCTGTCTTGGCTTTCCTTTTTCTTTCCCCCTCCCACCACCCACCCTGCTGATTACTTTCCTTCTGTTATTGGAGACTCAAGTCCCAGGGCACACACAGGCCCTTCCACAGAAATGCCATGTTTTCAGAGGAAGCTGAGCCTGCTTCAAAAGATCATGCAAGAGGAGCTGGAACACAGAAAAGTGTCAAAAGACTCAGGACATAGGCCTCAGTGAGATCCCTCAAATATGCCCAGGAGGATCCAAGTGCAATTATTACACAGCCCGGAGTGGAAATGATTTCCATGCAAATTTTAAAATCAGTAGTTCTGTGTCTTGCTCTGCAATCACTTTTAAAGAATTTCATCCTTTACCCTCTAACTCCCTTCTTTCACTTAATTCTCTGCCCCATTTTCATCACAAAAATTCATTAAAACTGTACCTGGTTACAACCTAGCCCTACTCTTACCTCAGGTGAAAAGGCTTTGTCTTTCAACAAACTTCATAGCTCCCTGTTGTGTTCTATGCACATTTCTGGGTGTTTTCACAAAATATTGATCCAGTTAATTCTCACTAAAACTCTATAAGGTGTTGTTATTTTTATTCCCTGGATGAGAAAACTGCGGCTCCCAGAGATTTTAAATTACTTGTCCCATTACCCATGGACAAGCAGGGGCTTAGAAGAAGGTTTCTAGTTCTAATCTCAACTGTTCTACCACAGTGGATGCTCACTGGATGACATCTGTTCCGGGTTCTCTGGAAATACTACAACCAAATAATTTGCCACCCAAATTGGGACAATTTTTAGAGAGGAAGAGCATTGTTCATAATTATTCTGGGACAACAGGCACAAATTTGGACCAGCCAGGGAAAACTGGAAATAGTTAATCCTAACTAAGGTGGGAGGGATACAAGATGTAATCAAGGGCCTCTACAGTCCATCACGCACACAAGCATGTGCATGAGGAATATGTCACAACCTGGAAAACAAATAAAAGTTGTCAGCTAAATGGAAGTCATTGAGCCATTTTTGTGTCCCAAGAAATCATTCCTAAGAGAACGTGGGCAGAGACAATTCAACCAGTGAAGCCATTCAAAATAATCATGCTTGAAATGAAATCACACTGTTGGGATATCATTAAAGACAGAAAATTTTGAAATTGACTTTCCAATGATTTCCAAACAGAGGAGCAGGCTTCCACCAAGCATAGAGGCCCCTGTCTTGTAAAGCTGTTTCTTAGTTAAGATTTAAGTGCTAGCAAACCAATCCTTTTGTACAAATAGCATATGACCAATGCAACATTTAGATTTGCTTCTTTCTCCTCCCCATCACTCCTAGCTAAAAGCATTGTGGGTTCAAGTGAAAAACAATTCAAAACCAGTGCTGGCTCTATTGACAGGAGCTAAAGGGAGGCCCAAACCAATGGCTAAATTTCAAAGGAAAATTTGCATCTCTTTCCTTCTCCCTGGACACTCTCATCAGCACCCCAAAGTACCTGGAATCAGGTAGGACTTTAAGTAAAGCCAGGACAGTATCCACAAATATAAAAGTCAAAGTGTCTCTTCGTATTGCCCTAACCAAAGCTGAGTATGCTGTAAGTCTGGGCTAGTACAAAAGGACCACAGGTTAGCTTTGAAGTAAATGGGCATCTCAGAGAAACCCTCCAATGCCCAGTTCTCAAAGGAATGTAGTAGGATTGATCAACTGCCCCCAGCCATGGCCTATGAGCCAAGCAGGCTTTGTCCTCTAGCAAAAGAGCCAAAAGAGGTTGCAGGTAGAAAAGCCTCAGATGGCACTGCTTTAGAGGCAAATTAACTACTGCCTAATTAGGTATAAAATGCTGAACCTGTGACAAGAGACAGCCATAAGAGATAAAGAACAAGACCAGGCATCCAAAATGCCCAAAGACGGCAAGAGTTTCAGGTGAGCATATTTCTTATCAGAGTTTTAAATTACCAGTCTTTTGCAAAAGTCTTTCGCAGAATCAAAACCAATAATCCATGTTAAAACTGGAATCTCTTAGTAGGATCTCCTGGGATTTAGGACATTGACTGGGTTGTATTTAAATCTATCTGTATGCTAGTTCCTGAAGAGTAGCGGTGTGCAGTCACTATCTCATCTCCAGGATAAGCCGGCCGCGGTTCACTGAGCACTGATGGGTTTTTTCATATGCTTTCACTCATCACAGCCACAATAGTGTACCAGAAGGAGGCAATATCACACTTGAAAGGCTTGGAGTCTGAACTTAGAGTTCATGATTACAAGTCCACATTCACTCCTTAAATGTGTATATTTTCAGGGGCTACTTAATTATCCTAGACTTCAATTTTCTCACCTACAAAAGGTACACAGGGAGTGTTAGAGAATTGAGTCAAGGTATGTGATATGATAGAACAGTGCCTGGCAAATGGTGCTTTGTGTATAAGTGTTGTTTATTATTATGGATGATAGAAACACATTGATTGCTTTTTCACAGTTGGACAAATTGTTCATGCTTATTGTTTGAGTCTCTCTTGTTCTGAAAAGAATGTGAGGCAGTAAAAAAATAAGTCAAATACAGTACTAACAAAAACAAATAAAATACAGTAGGATAGCATAATTTTCAAGTGAAAGCAAAAGAAATGAGCAAAGGTGGAGCTAAAATTAAGCAAGGATGTTTACTCTTTGTATATTTTTAGTCGTGAACTGACCTTTCTAAAGGAGAAACAATAGCAAGAAAAAGGCATGGGGAAGATGAATCCTCACATATAGTATACCATATAGACGTTACAGTCCTTTCTGAAATAATTTTCAGGTTGATGTCTCATTATTGTTTCATTTGAAGTCAACGTCTTTCCTGGTTTTCTTCTCTTCCCTTGCTTCACTGATCCTTAAGGTTCTTGCCAGAAATGTATAGCAGAAGTCAGGAGCACGCTGCTAAAGAGAAGCGGGGAGAGAAGGTAGGAGTGAAAACTAAGAACAAAGGCAGGCACAGAGCAAAAGGAAGAAAGAGGATCAGGAAGTCTAAGAGGCTTAAAACACTCCCTGCTCAGTTCTAGAAAGATGTGCTCTAACTATGCCCAGAGTCCTCTGAGACTCCCAGGATCCACAAGGAACTCACAGCCTGACCTCTGCTTCCAATTAGTGCGGCCTATTAACATTTTCAGGAGGTGATGCGTTTGTCTTCTGAATATGGTAATGATCTCAGAGTTAGTTCATCCTTGTCTTGGGAGAATTTATTCACCAAAAGTGTTTGCTCCAGGAAGCAATTAGGAGATCACTGTCTTAAAGAATTTTACTGTGGTTTGAACATCAGGATTAACTTCAGTGTAGGTCATGTTTATGTGTCACAAAAACAAAGACACTATTGATATTCTAGAACTAAATGATCACAATAACAATTCACATTTAGATTCATGAACCTAGAGGGGACTTTTTAGAGATGACTGAATCCTGCTTCCTTATTTTACAGCTGAGATAAAGTGACTTCCCTCAAACCACCCTATCCTATTCTTACTACAGTAAGAGCAGATACCCAAAAGTAAAAATTTTGAAAAAGAAGATTGCCCTGGCCAAGTGGCTCAGCTGGTTGGGGTGTCATCCCATAACACGAAAAGGTTGCAGGTTCCATCCCTG